AAAAACTAATTATAAAATGATTGTTTTTTAAAATCTAAAATCTAATATAGCCTAATCATTTATTTATTTACTGTGCCTTTATTTAACCAGGAGAAAAAACTGAGATTAAAAACTCTTTTACAGGAGTGTTCTGGCCAACATAGGCATATACTTTTGAATTATACAACAATGATGCAACATACTATACTAAATCCAACATAAAACATACAACCAGTTAAAAACCTTTACACACCATTACTTCACTCTTCTCACACCATTACTTTTAACATGACTAAACACTGCGTCTGAAATCGAATACTTCCCTACTAAAAGGTATGCGAAAAGCAGTACACCAATATGTCCGATTGTGTCCCAATTTGCGTATTATGCACTATTATGATGTTCTTAAAGCTACACTGTGTGATTTTTACCCCCATCTAGCGGATAAAAAGGTATATGACCATCCAGTGAATATTAGTTTCTGTCAATTCCTCTCAATTTCAATTTCGTTTTAACTTCGTTTTACGGTGGCCAATGTAGTCCAAGATTAACATGGCTTCCAGTTCGACCTCGTCCATGAGTGTTAACTCAAACGTAAAGGCGAAGCTTGAATTAACGGGTATGTCCCTCTTTGGGTAATGTACATTCAAGATGGAGAGGCAACATTAGACCGACCGACATTAGAACCCCTTACCCGCATGTATTTTCAATGGCATATTATACACTCACCAGAATACTTTATTACTTGGACGAAGTAAATATACATTAATGAGCACATATTTTTTTGAAAGAACTAAGCGTTTTTAGATAAGAATAAACTAAAAGAGTTACACAGTGTAGCTTTAAGGATAAATAGTGCGAGTAGTCTGTTCTCACTGAAAATTCCAAAAAGAAAAGGTGCACCGTACTTTAAAAAACAAAGTGTGGAATGTTGGAAACTTAATGCACTCCACTGCTGCAACTATAATAATGTAGCGGAGGGGCATAAGACTCTGATGTTCAACGACAAAATAACCTTATAAAATTCACACACACTACACGGATGAGTAGTGCACAGGTAAATAGATGACATAGCTACTACTACTGGCGAGATTCTTAAGTGCACCATTGATGGGGCCATACTGAGGCCAAGAAAGGATTTATGAATAGACGTGACAGCCACGGCTGATAAGACAACATGGCTGATAATCATTTTTTACAGTGTGAAAATTGCTCAGTACTTGATTTAAAGGAGAACTCCGGTGAACAATGAACCTTTGGTCTAATAAAACATCGGTACATAGTCAACCAATCTCTGAGATTTGTTTTCATGATAATCGAATGTAAAGAGTTTTATCTCTAAAAACTGTTTAGCGTATAATGCTAGTAATGGGGGCATTGACTAAGTAAAAAGAAATCGCTAGTTTATACCACTAACAAGGCTCAAAATAGCCCCACACTAACGCAGGAACATATTGAGGCTCCATACATACAAAACGAAGCATTGAGATCTTTGTAAGTGTACAGACCGTTTAATAAGAAGATACTTAATGAAGACAGTTCACTTTGCGTATACAGACAGGAGCCATCTTAAAAAATAGTCTCGATAAGTCAAACCACGAACGTCGTGCTGAGTGATCTGAACTCTATGAAGTTCAACGAACATCTGAACTGTATGAACGGCGTTCGGGGATCGACTTATCGAGACTATTTTTTAAGATGGCTCCTGTCTGTATACGCAAAGTGAACTGTCTTCATAAAGTATCTTCTTATTAAATGGTCTGTACACTTACAAAGTTCCCAATGCTTCGTTTTGCATGTAGGGACCCTCATTATGTTACTGCGTTAGTGTGGGGCTATTTTTAATGTCTTGTTAGTGGTATAAACTAGCGATTTCTTTTTACTTACTCAATGCCCCCATTACTAGCATTATACGCTAAACAGTTTTTAGAGATAAAACTCTTTACATTCGATTATCATGAAAACAAAACTCAGATAACAATTGACTAGGTACCAATGTTTTATTAGACCAAAGGTTCATTGTTCACCGGAGTTCTCCTTTAAGTACAAGATCTTGTGAACACTCAACAGTATCCGAAAGGAAATGGATCACTTGAGCTCCACTGTCATCACTCCCATTGATAGTCCTCAAACAGCAACATAGAGTCGGCCCAGATCCGGCCCACATCTTAACCGTGTCGAATCCACTTGTACCACATGTGGACCAGATGTGGGCCGGATCTGGGCCGACACTATGTTGCTGTTTGGCAATTCACTCTGCATGAAGTTAAACTTTTCTTAACTTTGTCAGAACACACTGCAACATGTTTGCTCATGTCACCGGACGCTATTTCAGCTCATTATTACGGGCTTTCCTAAAAACGATTGATCGACAACTCAGTTTTGAAAATATGTACTTTTGCACATCCCTACTATATAGGGTTAATGGGTTATATAATTCCCATGGTGAAAGCCACTTATGTTTTTATAAGTTACAGCATCAAGTGGCGCATGCACAGTCAGGTAGTGAACAGTATAACATTTTTCATGTGGACATTTTGCCCGTGCTGTGATGGATTGTTGAGTGCCTCGTAATTGCGGTTGTCATTTTCCCTCTATACCCTACCGTAGACGTATGACAGGCGGCAACGCTGATGCAAGCATTTTAATGTGAAACATAACGTATGCATCTCCCTGAGAAAGCTCGGACAGCGGCTTTCTAAAACAGGTGAGGGAAGCCACTTATTCGGAAGTTGCCATGGAGATATCAGAGCACAATGATGCTAATTCTTCGCTTTCTATTAAAATATAATTCAATTTTACATCAATAAGTGCTTTCCTTTTGTGAGGAAAGAGGACAGCGAGAGAGGGCTTGCTTAGCTGGGAAAATATTCCTTCTCGAGGGGTTCTTGGAGAACGTATCAGCATATTTGATCTGAGAGAACAGGGCGGCAGCATTTTAAACAGTTGAGTGTTTGCATTTAGATGGTGTGGGTGTGCGCTCCTATACGGGTGATATTCATGAAATGGGATATATGATGTGTGTCACGGCTTTAATTCGCATAGGACATCAAATTCATTCTCTCAGTGGCTGTGTTTAATGGAAGCAGGAGCGCTCAGCCTTTCCATGGACTGTTTCTCTAACCTTAACTTTATAATGCAAGGCTCAATGAGCGTTTTGTATCTGTCTTTTTAATTTCCATTTAGCATACCATTTAGTTTCTCTATTAACACATTTCCGTTATAGTCAAACTTTATATGAATTCTTTGAAATTTGAGAATTAGTTTGGCCACTTCATTTCCAGAGTCAGAATATAGGCTGCTACTTTTGAATGACACATTTTGGGTCTATGGTGTCATAAATAACCAGTAAATTTTTCTTTTCGACAAAATTAGTGATAAACCACTCAAACCAAACTGCAAAAACACTTTGCGCTTTGGAAAGGCACAAACGATGACTCATTATAAATCACTGATTACATATTGTACCTCAAATACAAGACAGACGTCATTTTGACAGGTATGAATAAACTACAGTGTGTGAGATCTGGCTGACTGATTACATGACTAAAACTATGAGCGCTTCTATTACAAGCATCACTTCAGATGTCTGAAATGATTACACCAAGCCGAAGAGAAAAGTCTCGGATGACAAATTTAAGACTCAACATAAATGAAGTCTCAACTCAAATGAATAATAAAACATCCTTCTGACTCAAAATAATTATACTCTTGAAGACTTACCAGCCATCGAAGACATGTGAAGTGCCATGAAGTCTTTAAGGAGTCTCTGCCAAAACCAGCTTACAGTGGTAGGTGTGTTTTGAAAGCTGGTTTCAAGCTGCTCCAAACCGGTCTGGATTAATCTGCAACATGTTTAGAGGTAATTTATTATTTTATTTATTTTTGTTCATGCAAATTGCAACCACCTTAGACAATATGTGTTAACTGTCAAATACAATATTTCCCATAATAAACACTGACAAATCTGCATTTAATTCTTAAAAAGAATTAAGAAAGCACCTAAACCATGTTGACATTCAATTGTGACAAAAATGAAAGTGCACGACTGTCATTTCTCGTGGCATTTATGCGCCAAAAATGGTTTTTGCGTGCATATGCTACGCACTGAAAACACCCTGGGTAGGTTTAGGAGGAAGGGGGGTGGGCGTATCACATGCACGCGAAAAACGCGTACCATATATACGCAAAAACTAATTTTGGCATATAAATGGCACGAGAAGTGACATTCGTGCTATAGATACGAACTTTCATGAGATCGGGCTCCAAAAAACATACTGAAAACTCACCAAAAGTTTGTGTAGCCTTGTTGCAGGAGGAGTATTGAAAGAAGACCTTTTGGCTGCCCTTGATATTGCCTGGTTTTATAAACGTTTTCAAAAATATCTGACTTTGTAAGAGGACGACTTATAAAAGAGATGCATTTTTTGCCCTTCTTACCACAGAGTGTTGCCAGATCTTGCAAGAAAAACATACGGATATAAACTAAAAACTTGTTGCAAAGAATTTACATTAGCATTACCTTTTACACATAGCATTAAAATGTTATATTAAAAATATAGGAAAGAAAAAAGCATGCATTTATGCACCATTGAAGTGAAGAGGCACTGGAAGAGGCAGGAACATGGGAAGAAAGGAGAAACGCACTTTACATTATGTAGAGTGTGGAGGTTTGACAGCCATCAAGGACCAGCGAGCACAAATGTGTGACTATTCTGAAAATAAGCAAATTAAACGCTTCTGTCTCGATGAAAAACAAGCCAAAAGTCACTTATAAGAGTAGATGGCAACACTGTTCTATCAGGATGAATAGCTGGGACATGCATTGTTGTCTGAAAAAAAAAAAAAAAAACTATTTCAGTGAACAGATTTTAAATGTTAAAATGGTATTGACATTTTCTTCAGTAAAAATAAAAAGAGAGAATAAAAGCACAGAAAGGTAAATTACCAAGAGATTTAAAATAAAAAAATATCAGTTCAAATGAAATGAGGGGAAAAAAAAATGCACATTAAATCACCCATTCATAACATGACACTTTTATTACAGGACACTGAGGCAAATCGACAAATAACAACTATTGTCTTTACAAATTTAGGAGCATTTCAGATTTCACAGCAGACTAACACTAAGCCCTGATTTAAACCCATTAAAACATTATATTTCTAGGATGACAGGGTCGACTGTGCCTTGTGCTTTTCAAACCTGTGTCCTGGATTGAGACCATGTCATGTCTCAAACCGGCATTTACAGAATATTGTGCTTTAAACATTCGCACACATCAATTGGAGGGCGATCATCAAACATATCTCAAATACAAATCTTTATGGAGATGGAAATGCACAATGCTCACTGACATTTGATACACAGCCTACGGCAGATGGAAAGATCATTCCCAGAGTCTGGGATGACGCACTGCCATAAACAATATCTTGGAACCGTTTTCAGCACGTGGATTAAACTGCTGGCTTGACGCCATGGCTATTTCCATTTTTAAAATAAATCTTTCTTGGCTCAAACATAAACTAGAATTAATTTGGGTCACGAAGACCAATTCTTAATATCACATTAATGTTTGGCAAACTGTAAGGGAAACAACGAGGGCCGGATCATCTTTGGAGGTCAATCTGCACTGTATAAATTAAGGTGTTCCTCTTCATCTCCTTTGGCCCTGGGACCAACAATAGGTTTTTATGAATAATTTGCAGCAACACACTTCCTTGTTTTTCCTTCTTGCTTGTTTCCAAATCAAAATGTCCTTCACAAATTGCTCTAGAAAAAAGTACATGAAAGAAAAGAGTGTGTACACTATGCACACATACAGACATAAGCACACACAAACACTTTAGAAAATGAATGGCACATAACAAAACGTCATAGCATTCAGAATGCAATTTCTATGCATCATTTAGAAGAAGAACCAGTGCAGAGATGATGTTCATTGTGGCCCATCATACAAATGCAACAATTAGTTCATTTAAAGGGATGAGAAGGAAATGTGTCTATATATCTGTTACTCCTTTTACTCTTATATTTCAGATTTTAGATTGTGTACTGTATTCATCATACCTCTCAATTCAAGCTTCAAATATAAAGTTATATTTTAAATATTGAAATTATGTATATATATTATGTCTGTCAATTTAAAGGGGTGATGAACTGAGAAATCAAGCATTTGACATCTAAGAGGTCATCATATTATAAGAATATCCAATAAAAGCTAAGTTAGTCCAATAAAAGCTTTTATTGACACCAGGCTCAGCAAACGACTCGTTTTTTCAAAGTGGGGAACTATGACGTCAAAGAGGATAAAACACCACCCCCGCTGGAGAAGATGAACGCTTACTTCAACATGGCCGGTTTAGCCCCGCCCACTGATTCGCGCATGACACGCATAGCTAAATAACATAGCCCTACCTCGTGATGACAAACCGGATCGAGAGTGAAACTCATTATAATATGCAAAACTGTTATCCACTCACAGCAGTGGGCGTTTACTTTCAAGTCCTTAATGCGAGACGCCCATAAAAAAACGTGTTTTTGAGCTAGGCTCAAAACTAGGGTAGAAAATAGCCTATTACTTTTTTCATTTTGATGTTTTTTAATGTAAAAACCAAGCGAACGTCATAGACAACAATAAAAAAAATAAATTAAAAAGCCAGTTCATGACCCCTTTAACAATTCATTTAGTAAACACCACACTTACCAAAGAAAAAGCAGCACAGAATGAGTGAAGAGCCGCTCACAAAGGATGTGTTTTTTACCTTCAAGATGAATGGAAGCGAATGAAATGTGGTTTTGGGATATGCTGGAAAAAAAAAAGATATGACAGATGAAGACATAAAGCAAAGCCCAAAGACATCAATCTAGAACAAGTGTACATAAACCAAACAGTAACGGAACACAAGTGTCCTATGTGAACGGCCTACACTTGGGGGCTTTTCTTAGCAAATACTGATATATGTAACTGCAATTTGATTAATTAATTAGCATATGATTATTCGATTACAATTTTTCATTGTTTGATAGCCCTAATCATCTATATCTAAATTCACCCCTGAAACAAAAGTAGGTAGAGACAACTGCGTTTACTTTAAATCTGCATTGCTTTTAACCAAACTGACCAACTAGTTAACGCACAGTGACGCTTCACTCTTTTGAACACCACAAGGATTTATTTGCACGTCCACTTTGGCTCGATCACCAAAGATAGTCCCTCAGTTGAGTAGTTTAAAGAGATATAATATGAGCCCTGTCAAAAAGTTCTCCGTCACCACTTTTTGGAAAGTTTATAAGGTCTAGTTCAAAGATATCAATGGTGCTGTCAAACATGTTTTGTTGGCTCAAGTTTTCAACTTCAAAGTCTGATGGAGAATCTACTGTGTGCGATTGTGAATATTGGATAGTTTAAAACAGTTCCCTATCCCGAGTTTCCCTTATAAGCCGTATTTCTGAAGAAGTTCTGACTGCCACTGCCGTTTGCGCTCTGGGAACGCCGGGGGGATCTTGATCTTTCGGAAATCTCGGATACACTCTTTCATTTCCTCCTCTGCATTGGGCCTCTCCAGAGTCTTTCTCCGGGTTAGACCGCTTCCCCCACCTTCCCGCGAACCCACTCCACTGGTGAGGGACTGAAACAGCTCACTGTTTCTCCTCTTATCCGGCAGCTCCATCCACTGCACGGAGGAGCCTTTCTTGGGCGGTCGGCCTAGAGTGAGAGTGCTCGGAGGCCGAGATACAGAGTGCAGGGCGCCACATGGGGCCAGGGAGCCCCCTACGACCTCACCACGGGACACCAGGATGGGGCCCCCGTCCTGGGGAGACGTGGCCTCTGAGTGGGTCTCAGAGCTGGATGTGGAGAGCTCGTTCAACGAGGCTCCGCTCTCACTGGCCTTATCCAGAAGTTTCTCAGACTTGGGCTCCTCACGCTCCAGTTTAGGGGATGCTGACTTGCAGGCAGGTCCTGGTGGAAAGATAAAGAAAGAAATAGCTGATGAATCAATCGAAACCTCTAGAGGCCAATGGTAAAGTCTCACAGACTGGATTGATGAGATGCTAAGCTCTTTTGTGTTAGCGTATGCAATAAATCACGCCAGTTTCATTGCTTTTACTCTGTACATTGGTTTTGTTGTACTGTACATACACGGCTAAAAAAAATGTCTTATGCAGTAAAGATATCCAAGCATCCTTAAAACAAGGCATGTTTACTTAACAAGCAAAAATTGCATCAGGACTAACTATTAGAAACTATTATTTAGTCAGATTTAGGCCTAAATAAAATTCTTAGGTCTTACGGGCTTGGGACGACATGAGGGTGAGTCATTAATGACATAATTTTCATTTTTGGGTGAACTAACCCTTTAAAAAGTTGCTGCCTCCTTTTTGAAGCACACTGTTGGGATTGTGATTATGATGCCATGTAGAATGAAGCTCACAAAGTAAACAGAACAGAATATAGCTCTTTTTAAAAATAGATAGCTATCCTCTTGCAGAAATGTGTAGCATTTCAATACAATGTTGTTAAAGGCTCGTTTTTCAAAGCATTATGACTTATCATCCGACAAAAAATTGAGTCATTCAATATGGATATCTGTTGTACTTCACAACACAGCCCTTGCTGCATTCCCTCTTAACCACAGATTTAAAAAGCCTGTGAGAGGATGTCATGCATATATTCTGAGATAGAGGGGTTCTCGGTTACATAAATCAGCCTTAAGCAAACACCAAAGCACTTGGGTCAAAAACATGGAAATGTGGTCCATAAATGGCAACTGACTGCACTTCAATGCAATATCAAGGCCTCGGTGATGATTACACGCATAATAAATATGTTCAGACGTTATGAAAGTTCTTTACACTCTACAGATTAAGACAAGTTTTAAAGTAAATGTCTTAATTCGCCCATAAGAAGTCTTTGCTGTCCAGGCTTCAACGTTCTTTGAGACAGCTTTTGATTTTCTGGTTCTGCAAGAGAAAATTCAACTCATTTTGAAGCTGAAAATGAAGCTTTATAACTGTCCAACACAGCTAACTACATCCAATCTCTTGCCTATTACCTCTGTATTGGCTCATAATGATGAAATAATACATTTTTTCAGAGAATCAGGAGCCAGCTGTAACTGCATGCTTCAGCAAGTCTCTTAATGTGATGCAGAGTAGCTGCTAATTGGTGATTAAACGTGAATATGCAGGCATAGCTGAAAACAGACTTCATCAGTTGATGTTCAGGACACAGATCATTGAAGGAGACCCTCTGAGAACAGGACACCTGACACATTTGTTGCACACAGAATCACAGATCCCAACCATCAGACCTTTGTGACAAGGAGTCACAAAACTAAACACACTACAGAGTTAAACTAAAAAGTATACTCTACTGTACACTCACTTAAAGGACTATTTAAGTGAAGACCTGTTCAATTTCTGATTAATGCAATTATCTAATTTAATGATAAAAACACTGAGGAAGCCATCCTGCTTTATAGCATTTGAGCAAAACCACAGCACGCGCTTATAATAAACAGAATGAAATCTTGCACTGATGTGGATGCTAATATACAGATCGTTATGGTTATCCTTATATCTTTATAGAGTTAAGTATGAAACAGATGAAAAATAAAAAAGTATCCTCGACCAATTGTTCTAAATGCATGAATGATTGTCAAGAGGTGTGCTGTGGCTTTACTATAGTAGGTGATTAAACTTTTTTAGGTGATAGGATTTGTGTAATAAGAAGAAAAAGTTATTTTGGTAAAAAGACAAGAATAAAACTTCAGGAGAGGCTCTTTTGACGTGGGCCTGTATGCAACCACCCAGAACAGCAGGTGCTTAACAGTACACTCTTAGAAGAAATGGTTCTATTTAGAGCCAGAAATGGTTCCATCCCCGGCTTCATATATGGAACTCCAAAATGGTTCTATATAGAACCATTTTTTGGTAAAAGGTTCTATTGACCAAGTATGGAACCACAGGGTTCTATATAGAACCCAGAGGAACCCTTTTTTAATAGTGTATAGAACCTTTTAGGGGTTCCAAATACGTAGCGCTGATAGAACCTTTTAAGGTTCTATATAGAACCTTTTCTTCTAAGAGTGTACATTTTCTTTGGAAACTATTAAATGATAATTAAGTTTTAAAGGTATGTTAAAAACCTGAAATTGTTAAGTAAGCCCACTCAATAATCGACCGTCAGAGGACCACATACAACCTTCATGCTGTAAATTGCATAGCTGCGTATCTGAAGCAGCAGCGTATCCATTTGCTGAGGTCAAGGGTCCTCAGATGCAGCTGTAGAGAGCTCAGCATGACCTTATTAAACCCAACAGATGTCCCCTACACTCTCCTGCCATTCTGAATTAGCATGAATGCTGGAACGTTCCAGAACGTCCTCCGATTTTGGCCATTCCAGGTTTCATCGACCGTTGTGAACTCATTCTGTGTAATTGGATGGTTTTAAAAAGAATATCCTGCTATTAAATAACATATGGTGAGTTGATCATTACGGCACATGTGGCGAGTTGGAGGCATTTTAACAGGCTGTTCATCCTACTTTCTCCTGTTGCTTCATAATCTCTACAACAGCAATAAACATCATACAAGCAAACGAGCTAGTCGGACTAATGAATGGCTTCAAAATGCACACACACACTTCCCATCTGACTGACTTCCCATCTCTCTTGCAAAACAATTACAACAATTACTGGTGTGTCTAGCACATGTGCGACTCGAAGGAAAACGTAACAGCTTCTCTCCTTTGAGTAAATACAGTCTACATCGAATTGTCAATGGGTTAATGAAATGCACTTATGAATGAAATGCAAAAGCACTTAAATAAGCAGAGGCAATACCTGTGCTGGCACTACAGGCGGGAAAACGTCCTATCATAAAACATCTCCAAACTAGGCAGTGAGATGTATGGAGGTCAGACCTACAAATAATGGAAGTTAAAGTACTAAAACCCATAACAAACAGTTCCGTCATTCAAGAATGCAACTTCTAAGTTTGAAATCGCTAACCTTATTTCTAGTTTTCATTTTCAGTATACCCAGCATGTTGTATCTTCAAACACACCGGATTTTGAATAGCATGGAATAGGGTATAACACCTTGTACTAACTAAACGCGACGCGATAAAATTCCAGCGACTGAGACGCCACACGTCAATCTAAAATCACAGCCATTCCTACGCTATCTCACGACCAATTCGTACGAATTCGTACGAGTGATTAAAAAGTGGCTAATACGTACTAATTCATACGACCTCACTTGTACAAATTCGTACGATTTGTCCAAACCCACGTGATGGGTAGGTTTAGGGGCGGGGTCAGGGGTAGGTCATTCGTACGAATTCATACGAATTGACCACTTCGTAAAATATGTACGATTTAGCAAAAACGTACTAATTCGTACGAGTGAGGTTGTACGAATTGTTATGAATTATCCACCTCTTAAATTTGTACAAATTCTCGTGAGATCGGGTTGGCCATTCAGTTGGCCCGCACTCACATTGGAAATGGGTAAGTAAGGACATAATCAAATCAAGAAATAACTTTATTAAAAGTCAAAACATTAACAAAATATACTCATTGACTAATTTTGTTATGAAGTACAGTTGTATGTTTGCTTAGAATTCATTTTTAACGCTATATTACATGCTTTCAAAATCTGAGGTAAATTATCCGTTATCTTGTGGCACAGTGACCTATTTTTAACTAAAAATAAATAATGTGTACTCATAACCAGTGTAATTTCTTCATTCCGTCAGCCGCGACGTCGCAGAAATAGAAACCGTTTCTAAATTAGAAACTTCGCGTTTCGCCGTAGCGTCTGGTTAGGAAAAAAACTCTGATTAACATGGAAAAGTGGTCGTGATATGACATTGTTGCGGTCTGACACATTTGTTTGCATTTGAATGGAAGTTAATGGAACATAAAGTTTAGTGTGGATGCCCCTTTAAGGGTGTGAGGAGATGTGCTTCCTCTTTAAAATGTTAAATAGAATGTCATGAAATAGTTTCAATTTATGTGTTGCCTAGCAACAACCCACACAACCCAGCACAAACGCTCCCGGTAAAATATTTGTTAAAGTATGTTCACAAACCACGACTAGCCTATAATTTAAACAGAAAAAAAAAGCATACTGTATGTGTGATTTGGTATGGCACCCAATTCGAATAAAAAATAGCTCATCAATGAGCCTTGGGCACCCAACACCCTTTCGTTTTGTGGTTTGTCCCTCTTTGGACCACAGTTGGCAAATTCTCACCACTGCTGAACGAAAGCAACACACAAGGCTTGCCATTGCAGAGATACTCTGTCCGGTCTGGTCTTCAAGAAAGAGACTTTCAAAAGTAAACAAACTCTGAGGGATATTCATTGGAATAAAAAGTATTACAACCAGCCTTGGTCACTCTATATAAACATAAATAACAAAATAATCATAAAAAAACTAAACAAATACACCAAATGCTCCTAGTACTATTGTACCACACACATTAAGGTTGGATAATGACTGCTGAAAATGTTAATTATCCTCTCAGCTGTCAGAATGCTGTTGGCAGAGAGACAGGTTTATTCCTCATTCTGCCCTCATGAAATAAAGACCAATTAGCTCTGGCAGAGACATGAACCTCTTTAGAAGGATACTTTCTTTTTAGAAGGATTGACAACTCATTCAGCTCTCATTATAGACAGTTATTCCAATATGTTGAGTGAAGTTGCATTCTTTAATTACTCTGCTAGAACAGAACAGTCCCCCCCCAGAATCTTTTATTATTATTATTATTATTGCAGCCAAAAATTAAAACAAGTATAATCAATAATCAATACTGTAGGTACAAGTGTGTATATACACTCACCTAAAGGATAATTAGGAACACCATACTAATACTGTGTTTAACTTTCGCCTTCAGAACTGCCTTAATTCTACGTGGCATTGATTCAACAAGGTGCTGAAAGCATTCTTT